CTAAAAAAGGGTATACATATTCAATATTTAAAAACTCGGTTGAAAACTATAATTTTTCAGATATCCAAATTAAAGTTTAAACATTGCTTTAAAAGATCCTGAAGAGTATTTTATGATTATTTCAAAGCGTTTTTTTTTACTTGTCCGTTTGGAAAAAATTGGCGCACATTTAGTTTTCGCAGACTGTACATTCATCAAAAAAAATGGGGTCGAGTAGATTGATTCTGTCAGAGAAAAAAGTTAGCTACGAAGATGTATAACAGAAAATTTAAACGGATCAAGTTAGTCAAAGAGACTCATACAATTGAAATTTGCATATTTGTTTTATGTACAATTCCGATGCTCTTTGCCATTTGGCTCCCTGAGAAAATATTTGCTCGCTGTTCAAAAAGTTTTGGAGACAGTCTTGCTTTCTCTTGTCAATAGAGGTCCTTCCCTCTTCCCCTGAGAAAAATTCCTGCCGGTGCATATGATCGAAACTATGTGTACGACGATCGGATCACAGTTCACATCTAGTCCAGCAGCAGAAGCCGACTGCTACACAGCGTATAATCGACTCGAGGGACAGAAATGTTTGTCCACCAAGTTTTGAGGATAAATATGTACAGCGAAATCTATGATGAGTGAAATATGTCTTAAAAAAAATTGAGATATGCCACCCTACAATCCATCCTCCGATTTTTCACCCAGTACATTTTTTTTTCAAATATCATGGTACTGTGAAACGTCAAAAAACAAAAAAATTAGCTTGACAGATTTTTATTTTTTACTTTTTTGTCCTTATCTCCGCCGACACTGGATTGATTTCAAAAAACTATACAGCTTTTTCGTCTTTGGCATAGTAGTAACCTTGTGTGAAAATTTCATCAAAATCCAACCGGCACTTTGCAAGTTGTAGAGCGCACAGACCGACGGAAATTAGTGACATGATTTTTCGTGATGTAAATGTCACATAACACCCAAACTATCTCATTTTCGAAAATCGCAGTCACAGCGCAAGCATTCACCATATATGCGATATACTTAGAGCATCCACCATTACCTTAAGTTTTATTTCCTCCGCCAGTCAAAATAATAAATAAAATAAATACCTATACAGGTTAACGATCTCGCACCAACAGCCTTATTCTGTCTATGGTTCTCATTCATGTAAAATTACTTTAACCTCATTTTCTCAACGTCCATGCACATCTTTGGAAAATACCCTGTCGGAACGAATTTTGTATAACGTGTGCCGCGGACAGGAATAGCTTCTCAAGCTGTTAAGAGCGAATGATGTAATATATATATATATATATATATATAACTTTTAAACTTCGTTGTGAGATGTCTTTATCAAGTTAGGCGTGGCTGAGAAACTCCGCGCCGCTTAAGCAGAAAACACAGACGGAGAAGAAAAATATAAACGTGGGAAGGAAAACATCAATGATTTTCGTTAGTAAGACAGACATTAACGCCAGAAGCAGCTGATTTTCTGAGTTTCGAAGCCAAAATATGATTAGATAAGATTTGGTGGTTCGAAGAAGATGAAAATTATTTACTCCTACGGAGCAGAAGTGAAAGATGATGAGAAATGTTGAATAGCGACGAAGATGCCCCTAATTATTTATCTATCTGAATTTAGCAAACTCGTCTACTAGAGGCAACTTAAAATGACGTTAGGTGAAAAGCAATTTTACCAAAGAAACACTTCCTATAATCTAACCTCCCGATTCTGTAAAATGAAGGCCCCGAGTATTGCTTACATGTGTACTAATCCCCAATGTTTGCCTGGCCAAAAAAATCGCATGTACTTAAAATTCTTCTTTATTGTATACATGCAATGTATAATATGGTTTCATTGGTCAAACAAGCATGGGATTATAGACATGAACATCTCAGGATAAGTTTCAGATGTTCTATTACATGTGCACTGTCCAGTCTCAGTACTTGACTTTACATTGAGAGGCAGTTGGTGATCTGAGCCTTTGCTGTCTATATCAGAGGCGTAGCCAGCACTATCTCTTTGGAGGGAAAGTGAGGTGATTGGTCAATAGTATTTTATTATACTGGAAAATAGTATTGTTCCATTTTTTTCTTTTTTATTTTCTTAAACAATATCATAACGTTATAAGTACCCGAACACTCCGAAAACTGGCATCCACGCATTTCTTGGAAAAAATAGTATAGTGTCGAGCTCGAGATTGTACATCAAATTGCATCTTCATACATGAAGGTCATGAGTAGTTCAATCAGTTTGACCTGCTGTAACGCCTGAAAACCACAGAAACCCCCGAAAACTTGACAACCACGCATTTTTTGTAGAAAAGGTTATAATGAAAGCTTTTAAATATGTGAAAAACATCATATCTGTCGTTGAGCTTAAATATGATCTCAGAAGTCATTTGGAGGTTAAGCTTAAAAGTCAACCACCACCATATTGATAACAGAAAAGGTTGTACTTTCATACAAATGCACGGCTGTCAAGTTTTTGTTATGTCCATGTACCGTTCAGACGTTATTGATTGAACCATCTGTGACCGTTTGACCTCATGTATGAAAATACAATCTGATGTAGAATCTCGATCTCTCACGGATACGCTATCAAAATTAGTGACTGCTATTTAAATTTATAAACTTGACTTTCAAATGTCCTCTGAGGACATTGTCTAGGACATATTTGAAGTCATCAGAAATCCTCAAACATTTCTTTGAACCTTTTTTCCAAAATAATGGCTGGTATCAAGTTTTTGGGTGGTTCGTGCAATTTCCAAATGTTACAGTTGGTCATACTGATGGAACCACTTGTGACTGCTTTAACTCGAGTCAGTCTGAAAATGCACTCTGATGTAGAATCTCGAGTTCGATATGAACCTGCTGTGAAAAATGCTAGTTGCTTCTAGAATTTACAATTTTGACCTCCAATACCTAGGTAAAATTTGAGGTCGTCCACAAAATACTTATTTTGACATCCTGAATTTTTCTCAGAAGCTTCTTGCCATAAAATATTATAAACGTATTATATCCGACTTTTCCAAAATCGTATATGGTCGAATAGAGTAAAAAATATTTATACGATTCCACGATTGTTTGGGCGAAAAGCTTCAGGTATCACATTACAGTGTTCAAATCTTCTGTTTCCAATCAGCCAACGATTCGTGAGATACATTTTAGTTTTACTTTTATGAGCGTTTTACAGAATTTCGGAGTGGCAGATTACAAGTAATATTGAAAGGCATATCAAAAACACAACTTACTTGTTTGTGCTTATCTGAGATAGTTCCCAGTTTGATATTTTGAATGTATGCAATGAAGAACTATTGTCACTAGCCAAAAACATTGTTCACTCCTTAAAGAACTTGAAAATAGCATACGCGTGTCGAGGAAATTACTAACACTGCAACGGAAAAAGCAATGTATTTCCCAGTATTTTTTAACTTCGTAATTCACAGTGCTTCTGGGGCTGTGCAAGAACTTCGTGGATCTAGAACCCTTTATTTCTAGCCCATCAAATCATTAAAATATTAAAACAAAAGGTTGGTACCCTTCAGTTCCAAAGTATCCCAATTCCTTAACTTGAAACATGCGAATTACCTACAGCTTCGCATATTTTGGAATGAAAAAATAAATTGTTCTACTAAAAACTGGCAAGTTAGCCCAAAACGAGATCATCATTTTCTACCGTTGAATTATTACGTAAAAGTGCTATAATATATTACAAGAAGTCGTATTTTAACCTGAGAGTGAAGTTTTTTTAATTAATTTAAACGGTTTTAGCAATTCACTACAAGATGAATTAACACTCTCTTACTGCTGTACGCTGCTGATCCCTTGGAACTGTCTCTACTTCATCTTGAGTTGACTACCGCTGGATCAATATTAATAACTAAACTTTACGAGGAAATGCGATTTTTGTTTTAATTAAACATACCGGGAAAATAGCTTCAGCAATGACACGACGTCGTTCGCCGAGTGATGCTTCGGGTTATTTACTACTTTAAGGTCGTTTAGTAGGTATATCGGTATAGGAAGAAAATCTACATTTTGATGAACCTATTTTATAGTCATCGACATTTTATGCTTCCTTATGTTGACACAAGCAGCCTTCCTTTTAGACACTTCCTCACATAATCCCACATCGAAAACCAACGTTGATGCTGTCACCTACGGACAGTTTTCTCGATCGCGGTACTTCCTACGAACGGTGACAGGAAATGGCAGTTTTCCGGTTCTAAGAAGCCAAACAAGAACGTCCACCACACAGATGTCTCATCGTCAGTCAGATTGGTACTGAGTACTCACCAAGCTACCAGCGTTGAAGTACTATGCGATACTTGCATAAGCCAACAACAGCCTGAATAGGCTCTGTTTGCTTACCGTCCCTGCGACCATAACCAATTGTATTCAACGTTTTTGCCTACAAAACGAGCTAGTCAAAGCCTCCAAACGTTTTGAAGAACTCTCAAGAGGCTAGCACATCAAGCTAAGAGAGCATAATAATTAGGTAAATACAGTTTTTGTTTTCCAAAAATGATGATCTGTACAAGGAAAGAATAAACTGAAGTACCGCATAAACATCCAGCAGATTGTATAGCTGAGAGCATAGAAGCCGACAGTTCACGTAATATCTTCCGACATTTTAATTCATTTGTAGCGTTTGCCATAATTTTCAGTTTGTTATAAAAATGTTCTCATTGCTTACTACAGGGTGCGGCAGAGAGGATGGACGATATAATCAACCTATTTTACTTCCACACAAAGGATAACCCTCTAAGGCTCGGTTTTTCAATCGCAAGTTAACTTTTTGGTTAGTAAACTATCACCAGGAAGTTAACTTGTAGTTATTTGCTAATGCGTTTTTCAAGTATTTTGACAGCGTCAGTTAACTTACCAGAAGTTCAACATATATTTATGTTACAGCCCTGTATCTGCGGTTCTTACATATCGTGTTCTATGTGTTTTGTGCGCTCGGCATCTGTGTCCCGTGTCATACGTCATACATGACAGTTCGATTGAATTAAATTTCTTAAAACAGCCAAAATCGAAATCCGGAAATTTCATTAAAAACGAATAAAACATAAAACCTTCGTCAAGTAAGGTAAGTTTTTTCAAACAAATGTTTAGTAGTAGACCCTATAGACGTTGATTGAAACATTTTTTTAATAATTCATTTTTACTTCCTTATGCAAATAACTGTGATGACAGTGACGTGGTCTTCAATAATGGCAATGGAGCTCCTATACTCCCCAACAACTGAAGAGGCCCAAACCTACAAAGCTATCATGTACGAAAACGGTACAAAATAAAAAATATATTTCTGTTAACTATCTACTAATGGAAGAAAAGCTGAATTTTTTGAAACTACAAAAAGAAAAATTCATCGAAGAACACAATATAAAAATGGAAATATATCAAAAAAAAGGTTCAGCTGTTAGATTTACAGATCAATGCATTTGATAAGTAGAAAACAAAGGATTTATTTTATTAATTTCTGGAATATTTTCACTCATTTTTTTTGTATTTCGCATTTTTGAAAATAATAAACTGTTTTCAGAAAATCATGTTTATTTTCATTTTGTAGTTACAATAAATAGGGGATAATTCATGTTAAGTAGATGCGAGCTATGGCGAAAACTTTAGGTGTTTAAAAAGATCGACTGAGTGCCCATTTTGAGGCTTGGGACATCTATTTTCAAATGCCGTGTGCGCCTTTTTTGGGCACCAACAATTTTGGCCACAGCTCTTATCCACTTGTCATGGATTATCACAGATCTTATACTAAACAACTTTCATCTAGCATTGAGTCATTCACTCACAGTGAATGTATTGAATCGATTTACAAATTTGCAAAATAATTATTAATATGGTAAGTTCTGACATTGTTGATTGCATTTTGTGGTAACCTAATATTTACAGGATATGTCTTCACATTATCTACATGAACCATGTTAATAGCATTTTCCTAATCAGGACTAATTATTCATTATTAGGACAAGCAATATTATGTAGCACTGCTGTTCCTAGAGTAACTGATTGAGCTGTATCTAGATGAACTCTGAGACCCATAGCTAGACATGGAAATCTTCTTTTCTAAACTCCATAGCTTCTCTCTAAAACATTGCGACTATGAATGATAGATTCATTATATAATTCTTCAGCAGGAGTTGTAGTTGTATTTAATGGTGTCATCAAACAGCATTTAATAGGATATTTAATAGGATAACCTTTGTCACCAGCCAACAAAGAGTTTCCAAAGTGACCTGATTCAAATTGTCTGCAGAGCTGAGAATTTCCGAAAATGTATGAATCTGCGTCAGAAACAGCTCGATTTCTGAAGAGCTCTGCATGGCTTCCTCCGGGAGAAACAATTTTTATATGCGTGCAGTCAATTGCACCTATGCATTGAGGAAACCTAGCTATATCATTTATAAAAGGATTGCTTTGCCCTGGCAAGAGCCTCAAGTGCGTCCAGCATTTTTATGTGATTACTTCTTTTACTCGATAGTACTTTTAAGAATCTTCGGACTGTTTTGGATGCAATTGATTTGGAAACCCCAGTAAAATTTCCAGCAACAGTTAAAAAACTTTCATTGTGCAGTGCTAACAACAGCTGCTGTTGGGGCGTTAAGCAGTTATTCCTGGAATGACAGAGGCATGGAAAAATATGGAAATAAACAATAATATATACATCTACCTGCTTGCAGGATATACTAAATCTTCATAGACTTCGTCCAGGAGAGCTTCTACAGTCCTTTTTGTAAGACGAAATCTTGCAAGGAAATTCATCAAAGTAATTCGGCTGATTATTTTTGGCCTTCTCGCGTCTTCGTCACTGCTATACGCATTCACGTCGTAATCCATAAACATGTTTATAGCTTAAATTAATCGATAGATTGATATGGATTTGTTGTGAATTTTTGAATAAACGTCAAAGTTTATGTCAAAAAACGTCAGGTATTGCTATTTAACTACAGCCTTTCTAGTTAACTCATAGATGGTCTTCTGGTAAAGTTAACCTCCGTTTTACTATAAACATGATATTGAAAAACGCTTTTTCATAAATAAATATAAGCTAAGACCAAGGTCGTAGTTAACCTGTGATTGAAAAACCGGGCCTAAGTAAAGAATTTTGTATTTCATATTTCCCCTAGACTCAAAAGGTTCTTTAATGACCCATATTTGAAAGAATTCACAATAGGTTTCGGTGTTTACTTCCCACGCCTACTGGTGGGGAAATCTAATAGCGAAAAATTTCGAAAACGAGATATGTTTTTTAGGTGTTATATAACACGAACATCACGAAAAACCATGTCACTCCTTTCTGTCGGTCTGTGTGTCATCCTATCTGTTGGTCTGTCTGTCCGCTAATCCCTGGACCGCCTTTAACTTGGGAAGTACCGATCGAATTTTGTTGAATTTTTACCAGTATACTAGGGTCAAAAAATATTTCTATTTAGGAATATCGGACCAGCGGAGACCGAGAAAAATGCCGAAAACAAAAAAAACAAGTGTCTAAAACTTTGCTTTTTAACGTTCCAGATAATTCTGATCATTCTTGAAAAACCTTTAAGGAGCAGAAAATTGGGGATGAAGCATTGTATATTGCAATTTTTTTGTTCGTTATTGGTGCACTGGTAACCCTGATAATTCTACGTACCTGTTAGACATGATAATATTAATAATAATAATCAATTTATTCTAATCGACCAAATAAGTGGCATAGGAAACGTCGATGCACACTCGAAAGGATAGTATACATACTCGTATTTACAATTTTACAGAAGAGTGTATCTTATGATGACTACAGGCTACCTCAGAGCACAAAACATTGCAGTGAGACCTAACAGATCACCTTCAACATTCCAGATATTTCAACACACTGCAGAAAGGCTCATTCAGGAAGTAGGTAGTCAGCGTCTTTTTGTACACGCCACAGTCCTAAGCCGAGATAGTTGGGACTTCTATATATATAATATATAATATTTCAAACATTATGGATTTCGCCGTACATTTGCCCTACAAACAAAAATATTTCACCAGGTGGATTGCATAATAATAATAATTATAATAATTTATTTATCGTGTAGATCACAAAGTGTTATAGGATAAGTCAATGGAATATTTATATGAAAAGAATTGCATACATACATAAATAGTATTCAAATATCAAAGAAAAAACTCGAGGTGTGTAAAAATAGAAATGAGTTAAAATGACAACAAATTAACAATTTGAAATTAAACAATAACTTAAAACAATTAAAAAAGACTATGACATATTAAAAATTCTTCTATAGAGTGAACAGCTTTAACCAGTAAAATTCGCCTGATTCTTTTTATAAATAATGTCAACGGTAGTGATTTAAGATTTTATTACCATGTATGATTTGGGACTCTCCTCCGTTCTCTACAACCTATCGGTTGCAGTTACCGTATGCCCCGTGGTTGTAAGCAATGCATATCTGATTGGGGTTCCAAGATACAAAAGCAGATAGAACAGTCACGGGCCTTCGCGGTGACGCCTCGTTTATGCGTTATATGTTATACGAGTATAAATTGTTCTCACCACGTAAAATAAAAAAAAACTAAACAATCAATGCTTAAGTTTTTAATCCATTGTGATGTTTTTCTCACACAGCTGTGTATTTTACAAAATTTTAACGACTGCTACCATGGATCCAGCTTCAATCAAGTTTTCTCATTAACTTAGTTATTAACATTTAGTTATTTTTCAAATGTTTGGAATTCTGAAAGCTAGAGGAATGAAATAATAAGAATACCCTTTGCTCTAATTTTGTCGTAGCCAACAAAAGGCTTAAGCTTTTGTCACCCAACTTATTATTTAGCCGATACTGACAACGGCTCAAGTTATATACGAGTATAGGTATATACTATTTTTTTACTATTCTGATCGGCTGACCTAGACGTACCCCTCTGTATAATGGTGAAGGTACTAAACAGTATGCAAGGTATCTCCTTATCTGAATCTGCAGAGCTCGAGTAAATCCTAAATCCCACAATTAACCATAAATCATAAATAAAAACCTAGTCAAGTCAAGAGATCTAAAAATGAAAACGAAGTTTATTCTATTTTAAGAATAGACCTAGCCAACTAAATAAACAAGCCACTTGCCCAGGAGTTGGGGCAAACCAAGACCATCAAAATGGGTGGGCCAAACAGAAGTTATGTGACTTTCTGAAATGTCATTCAACCCTTCCCCCACCCTAAGCTAACCAAAATAAACGAAAATGACAGAAACAAATAAGTTTGAAAACTGAGCGGTAAGTACGGTAAGTCTATTTAAAGAGTATGTTAATTGAACCTTTTGGCAAAATAATGTTTGATTTTTGAATATACTAAAATAATTTCCCACAATTCTTCTTGGCCACATTTATCATTAGTTTTTTAACCGATAGCTCTAGGTTGAGTGGTTGCCGAGATATAGCCGGCGTTGTTCATTATTGGCCCACCAGGTACATACTACTTTTATATGACTATTCCGTCTCATACAAACATCTTGAACATAAAATGTTTTTTTTGAGTGACGCAGGGTGTATATGTCTAAATATGAGCGCTCGCAGGGGGGTGCCAGGTTTTGTGTACAATTTTGACAATTTTTAAGGTTTTTAACTCTCCCCCCCACCAGAAAATGTGCTACCCCCGATTCTTCAAACATTTTTCGGGGCAGGTACAAAAAAAAGTTATCTGTCGGCGATGATTCCCGCTTATGAGAAAAATTGCTGCGGGCGCTGATGTATCAAAAATATCATATTTTTAAAGTAATCTAAAAAACATGACGATATAAAAAATATCTTTAAAACGTATTTTTACCAGCATACCACCAGAATAAAAGTCAACTACGGTATCCTAGCAAACCTTCACAAAAAAAAGATTAAAAGAGTCAGTTCTCTGTAAGGTAGACGGACAAGTAACTGATCTTAATCTTTTTCTGTCTTGTAATGGATATAAAACTGCTACAGATAAGATCACATCACTCGTAATCCAGACTGGACATCTTCCATTGAACATTAAAACATTAATAGTATCTGAAAATTTTTGCAAAGAGACTGGACTCTGTGGCAAAAAAGACATGCGTCTGATGCCAACTTCTCAAAAAAAAAGTAGGTATTTTCATTACTATTAACTATTCATTATAATATTCTTCCTGAGTACCACACCTTAAGAACCATGCCATTTGGTAGAAATATGGACATAGAAAGAACATGTATATATATGTTCATTGAACTATTTTATAAGCAGCCATGTCAGAGTCTGGAATAGCTATCATCTAAACGACTTTTCTTCACCCTTATCACGAATAGGCGTGTCTGAACTTAGCATATTTTTAGGAGAGACAAAAAAGGTGAAACAAATTTGAAGTGATCTCCATATTCGCCGTAAGCGTATATATAAAATGTGCGAAATATGCTACGGATACAGTCATGCCAGAGGTTATGGCGTTTCCTGAGGTGAATACGTAATGAGGGGGCCTCCTTCTTTATGCATTTTGGGATCCCATTGAGCACCTATTGTGATTTCAATTCTGCTCGCAAATCAGTATAAACGGGAACATTTGCAATACTGCTCATCCAGTGGTATGTGCTTTGGTAAACTGGAGAGCGATGGACGTCACACGTCGAGTTTCACCGGAAAGGAATGTCAATTTCATTGATGCTCAAGTGCCAGTAGAATGCAGTACTGCGCGTAATCTGCACTTGTAGAAGGGTATCGAAGAAGGTGATGCTGGTGGCCTGAATCCTCGCTAATTGATTTGCTGGCTGATAAGAGATGTACTCTAATAAGAACGGACGGGAGCTAGACATGTTGAAATCGAAAGTGGTAGTGAATATTGGAAGCGACCAGCCATGGAGCGTGAAGTTGGAGACTGATTCCAGCTATTGAGGTCTGGGTTGACAGGGAGGCAATGCAGTTATATACTAAGTGACATATAAATCCGAACACCCAGTTTAAATGGAATAAAAGTTGGTGAATGTATTTATCTTACTGTAAATAACAAGTAAAAAAATTTTCAGCCTTATCAGTTGGACATTCCGGTTTTTATACTGCTTTCTTTTAATTCACTAACGCTCTAAAAATGAATATTTCAGCCGCAGTAAAGAATCAACGTTGGCGGATTTTGGTTCTTGACATCCTTAACGATCGGTTACGATGCCTAGAGTACGGAGACCTGTACGATTTCGTCAGCTTAGTGAGTTTGATAGCGTCCGTATAGTGGGACTTCGGGAAGCTGGACTTTCTTTTCGGGCAATTGCAGTTAGAGTGCAAAGAAGTGTAGACACTGTGGTTAGGTGTTGTCAGGCATGGCTTCGAGAAGGCCGTACGCAAGGAGCAAGGGGCACTGGACGCCGCCGTAGAACAACAGACCGTGAAGATCGCCGCCTAAGATTATTGGCCTTAAGGGCTCCACTATCAGGTCCACTGCAAATGAATGGTTTGCAGAACACGGAAGACCTATTGGCATGCGAAGTGTTTACCGACTAATGAGAAGTTTTGGCTTGTTTTCATACCGGCCACACTGGGTCCTCCCTTTAACTCGAGAACACCGACGTAATCGCCTTGAATGGTGCAGACAACGGTCACTCTGGGATGAGGAATGGAACAGTATTGTCTTTAGTGACGAGTCTCGATTTTGTTTAGGCATGCACGATGGTCGTGCCAGGGTTAGAAGGCGACGTGGTGAAAGGAGGAATCCACAGTTTTTTGTTGCAAGACATGTTCATCACACTGTTGGAGTTATGGTTTGGGGTGCTATAGCTCATGGTTCCAAGTCACCTTTAATCTTCATCAGAGGTAACGAACGCGCAGCGTTATATCCACGAAGTTCTAGAACCCCATCTTTTACCCTATCTTGACACCCTGGCAGATCCAACTTTCCAACAAGATAATGCCCGACCACATGTTGCAAGAGTCACAATAGACTTCTTTTAACATAATGATGTCACATTGTTACCATGGCCACCAAGATCTCCCGACTTATCCCCAATTGAGCACGTGTGGGATATGATGGGTAGGAGATTGGTCAATTTGCAACGTCCTCCTCAGACTCTAGAAGCACTTCGAGAGGAGTTGGTCGTTGCCTGGAATGAGATACCACAGGAGGACATTGACCACCTGATCAGAAGCATGCCTAGGCGCGTTGGAGAATGCGTAGCACATCAGGGTGCATCCACACATTATTAAAGGTCAAAGGGCTTTAAAGCAGTGCAATCATTTTGAAATTTTTATCATTTACTTATTATGCTTCATTAAGAGTACTTATACAAAATTTTATTAAAATAAAACCATTTAAACTGGGTGTTCGTATTTATATGTCACTTAGTATATTACTACACTACCCAGATTCTCACAAGACATAGTTCCTTTGAAACTTACCTAAATAATAATAACACGTTTTTATTGGGCGAAGTTTAGCATAAGCTAATCTACTGCTTAACCATCTTAAGGGTCTATGAACAAAATAAGAGACAAGTGAGATACTCGAACGGCACTGCTTCGACAAGAAGGATATTCCTCAGTATCTACTCGAACTCAATAGATAGGTAGACTGCAGGCAACAACTGGAGCTGACGATTTGCGGGAAGCTCACTGCTGACAATGTTGCCAGACTTGTAGGCGTGGGAAAATGGTTTGACGTGAAACCGATGGTGAGGCATATGATGCAAAGCAATGTATGTGACAAGAAAAGAAAAGTAAACAGACAAATTAACAATAGGCTTCTCTGTCTGTTGGAAATTGCGCGCTATTTTTAATACACGCATTTCAGTTGGTGGCGCCGTAGTAGTTGTTCAAAGCACATGTGTCATTGTACTTTACTTCTCTGAAGACGCTACAGGTAATTCTCTTACTGTCACTACCGTGATACAGTGCAAAACTTTCTGGCTCCTCAAATCAAGCAACTTAACCTGCATAACAAGTAGTTCCAGCAGGACGGAGCAATTTGTCACACATGTACGGAAACAATGAATCTTTTGCGAATAATATTTTCGGGACGTTTAATTTCTCGATTTGGTGATGTTAACTGGCCACCAAGGTCACCGGATTTAAAGGTCCCTGACTTTTTCTATTGGGATTTTTGAAAAATAAGGTTTATTCCAACAAACCAAATACTGTAGAGCAGCTGAAGATCAATATTACGAAGGGATTGGAAACATTTCTCACGAAAGCTACCAAAAAGTGGTGGAAAATGTAATCAAGTGGGTTAAGGTTTGCGCGGCTTCTTGAGGCGGACATTTGTCTGATATTATTTTTCATACATAATTTCTGAGTTTCATTAAAAGATTAAGTTGAAAAAAATGACGTATTTCATTTCATTTCATGAATAGTCAGCTACATATCGGCTACTGAGATAATATGATAAACACTAGTCTAACCTCACAGCGTAGTCTGTTTTATCAATCTTCTTTTGGAAGAGTTTTTCGCAATGTTCAATAAAATGGGGGACTTCAGTTTAAGAAAATGGCAGTTAACAATTTTTTAAAATGAAATGTTGTTTTCTATTACACATTCGAAAAGATCCTTCCAAAGGAAGAATATTGAGCAGCTCAATATACTAAAGGGCGCATTTTGAGAGATGGTGATTGCTGGTAAAACATCGGCAAATTTTACTCTGGTTACGCTTTCGACGGCCAAATACATGCTCCTAGATGTTGGAAATCGTAAGTAACAGCTTCTCGAAGTCTTATCTCGGTACGCGGTGAAACTTCATCGCGGTACGCGCTCTATTCTGATACACAGCAAATGTTTCTAAATTAATTACAACGCTCGGATGACCATTTAACCTGGCAGGTTTGCATTTTAGCGCCAAAATACGTATGACCTGATTAATTTTTATTATTTAATCTCATTACGCGCATATACAAAGGAAGCTAACGGGCTGAGACAAATACCTTCGGTATATTAATGTAACGCTACCCATCATGACCAAAGGCTGTAATGTGCTTTCGTAGTGAGATGCTGGCGAACAACTGAGAGACCTTAGTGAGTATGCTGCTTTTGGACAGTCTCGCACTTCGGGTAGGGAAGGCTGAGAAAAAGAATCTATTTAATTTTTCTTGCCTAAGAGTGGCTGTAAAATTTTGGGTCTGTCTGAAAAAATCCTTTCGGAAACAACTAAGGTTCATTCGATAGGAAATTTATAGTACTGCCCTGTCATGCGGCGCAGCATGTAAACTTCCAAGAAAATGATCGCAATACACTAGTGAGGTCTGAACAGCATCTTGAAGACACCCACCGTAAACTAACATCATATCAACAAGTACGCTAATGCTATATAGGAGTCTGCCAGATCGATTTACCTATAATGCACCTAATAACTAAGGTAGTGGCAGAACCGGATTTAGAATTTCAGATTTTTTGGAAACTTGATATCTCCGTTATATTGAGATTTTGATGAATGTATCAATAGGACTTTACAAAAACTATGTATCATGTTGAGGAGAGTTATTACTTTGAAACACCCTAAATACTATTTGTATTTACATAATAAAGTCTTTTACAACTCCACCCTCATTTCCAACTTTAGCTATAACCTACTATTTAGATAAGAGCTTGTTTACACTGTGGGATGGAAATGGAGTGTAAACTCATCGATTCATCATTTTCACGCCATACGCCTCTACAAGTAGGTACTTCAACGTTAACCATGCTCGTTGTTTTATGCCGATGACATTTGCAGTTGGTCAAAATACACTTGTGGTATAATAATGTGCGCTGCTGCATGCCCAAAGGGCTATTGCACCATCCCTTTCCCCTCATGATTATTTTCTCGGTATAGAAGTGTTTGTGCGCGTGTAGGACAGTCTTTGAAGTGCGCTTTCAGAGGGCCTGTCTGACTGCATATTGATTTAATTGTTGTCCGTGACGCGGTGATTTCATCCATTCATTATAATCAAGCCCACATTGAATTTAGGACAAAAGAGTCCTCTCTCACCGGAACACTAGGGAAACTTCCTGACCCAGCGAACATCGTGGCATCTTCTACTTATGTGGCGTTTGACGACCCGTGCTGGCAAGCCTTAGATGCCAAGAATCTCTCTAATCAAGCATGTTGATAGGCAACGTATTTAGAAATGATTCCTGAGTCAAGTCAGTGGGACATTTGTAAAGTGTCATCTAGGCCCGATTTCACTATTGATTCGCGAGATCTAAGATGTTGATCTGGATCATAATTGGTTTATTATGTCTATTAGCTATCAAACTAACTAAAATGTATGAGTTGTGTAAGGAGGGCCTCTAATAACCATGTGAAATCAATTAATTCTCCATAAATCACCTGGTTTAGCTACAAAAACATATTTTTCCACTTGATCCTGAGATTGAAACCTATGATCCGCAGCGGTATTATGTAAAAAACGTAGAAACCTACGAAATTCCATCTTGCAGACTAGGTAGCTTTTAGATAGCAAATAGTTCATTTCACGTTTGTTCGCTATCATCGCTGTTTGCTGACGTTTAGGCAACACGTACAGCTACAAAATGAGCTCACAATAACTGTACAATAGCTTGTGCTAAGTAAACATCCTGTAGAAAAACCTAAGTTATCTCACAAAAAACTACGAAACCTCAAAAACAAACGACAAAATGTCACTTTTCAAGATACGTAATACCCATGCCTGATCAGCAATGACTAATTAGGAAGCGTTTTCGTAAAACTACATCGAAAATTGGCCAATCAGAAACAAGTATCATGTACCCACTTTGTAGATGTTAGAACCGAATTCAAAAAAAACATAAACATCTGAAAAAATTGAAAAAATGATATATCGGGTATTAATTAGCTGTATATTTCAACAAGCTCCTTAATTACCTTCCATTATGACATGTTTTTGCTGCTGTACCTGGTCCGCATATTATTGTTCAAGCTACCTAAATAGAGATGTATTTGGATTACAATTGTTTTAAACACCTTTGTCAGGCTTTATAAAATTTCAGAAAAAATTTTCATAACCAGTTGAGAAACTGTACAACAAAAAGAAAGGTCTAAAATGTAAAATGGAAACCCTTCTTTCTTGTGCCTCTTTGTCGGCTAGAGATGGGGTGTGTATTCGAATTTAGATAATAACTATATACGAATACGAATTTCAAGTTTTTACTATTTTTTGATAACAATTATAATAAATTATAACGAATTTTGTGATAATCGATGTAGGTCAATAACAATAAAGTTGAATTTGCTCTGAGGCAATAGGATACCTCGCCGGCAAACCCGTTTTATTTCATACAACATAGGTATTCCACACTTGTTCAAATGAATTAGTATCTGGAAATACTACATGCTATTTATCACAATTATTAATGAATTTGAACCTATGGTCAACACAAACGATCAGATGAAACTAATCTTATCATTATTTGAATATCTCTTGCGACATTCTGTTTTTCCAAATATTCGAGAACATAGTTTTGAGTCATTTTAGTTATTGTGATTTTATATTTGGCCCTTGTTCAGTACACTGTGACAGATTGCGTATCCAATAGATCCAGAATAGCTGCTGCAGGTTAGTGTATGGGATAAGGAAGTATGATCACATTTCACATAAAATCAAGGGGTGCCATTGGTTAAATATGGAAAGTACATACAGCTCATAACCTAACTTTTTAATGAGAGTGTTTATGAGGTGTCTCTGTAATTGTTTTATTTTTCGAATTTGATTTGTATAACATTCACCACAAACTCAAAAATAGCTCAGTAACTTCTTCAAATAAGCTCGCACTGATCGTAGCAGTACTTGGAATAACTCTCTTTGTAATCAACTTTTCTAAATAAGACGCCAAGTATGTCCTGCCAAGCTGCACCCAGAAGCGAGATGTCATTTTTCGTACATCGTAAGATAGATTCTCGAGCAACTTGATCAACATACAACAACCTCAGCTGTCTTTCGCGCTTGTAACAAATTCAGCTATCGTATTCCTCATGACGTTGAATCACCCTATTTGACACTTGTGTATGTTTGGAAACGTTTTCGCTTCTACTCTTGACAGTTGATTAATTTGTAGTGCTGCCAAGTTAATTACAGTAAACATGAATAACAAACTTTTTTATTTTAACACATAGTAATTGAGCCTAATTACATTTATTATTTATATAATACGACCAATCTCATGTTTATTTTGTGGATCTAGCTCGATTTTCAGCCTCACGACTTTTCGTTGAACAATTTGATGTGGGAGCACTGGACAGT